CTGAGACTTAAAATGGCATAGTTGAATAGTTCCACACTGGTATAATTATGATCAGCCCAACATCTGGAATAATCAGTTTTAAATGTTTAACTACTCTGAACTCTGACCCAATTCAGGTATGCAGTTACAGATTTTCTTCTTAACAGTCAAGAGAGTTAGCAATTAAAACAATACTCTAAATAATTATTGTTTAAGGGGCGCTTGGGTGGCTCAGTTGTTAAGCATCTGCCTTTGGCTCAGGTCATGATCCCAAGGTCCTGGGATCGAGGCCCGCATCGGGCTCCCTGCTCAGTGGGAAGCCTGCTTCTCCCTCTCCGTGCTTCTCCCTCTCCCTGCTTGTGTTCCCTCTCTTGCTGTCTCTGTCAAATAAATAAATAAAATATTAAAAAAATAATAATTATTATTGTTTAGGATGTTTACATATTTGCCAGAATCTGCTACATAATCTTTTATAGTAAATCGCAGTTGATAAAAAACCTTTAAAAAAGATTACAACTTGGAAAATAACATTTAAAAATATTATTTAATTGTTTGGACTTAGACATTTACTCTAGAAAACGGATAGAGAATTCTCCCTGGAATTCTTGAGATAGGTGTCTTATGATACTATGTTTTGCCCCCAGAAAATACTTCCATTTATTGCAAACTGAACATTCTCTTTGTTGCTACTAACATTTCCTATGGTCAGTAGAGGGAGGACAAGTTTCCGAACTAACCCTCCATGAGAAAACTTAAGTGACATCATCAGTGATGGTATTAAAGGGGAAAAATTTGGGCTAGTTCATATTGGTTCATGCCCTGATAAAAATGAAAATTTATTAGGTAGACAGCCAAGAATCATAAAGATAAAACATAACAGCAGATTTGGAGACCATATTTTAAGAAAAGAGATACAGTAACAAGAAAAAAATTGATATAATTTCTTTAAAATTTAAAAATCTAGATTGTGGGGGCACCTGGGTGGCTCAGTCATTAAGCATCTGCCTTCGGCTCAGGTCATGGTCCCGGGGTCCTGGGATCGAGCCCCGCATCAGGCTCCCTGCTCAGCGGGAAGCCTGCTTCTCCTTCTCCCACTCCCTCTGCTTGTGTTCCCTCTCTCGCTGTGTCTCTCTCTGTCAAATAAATAAATAAAAAAAAAATCTTAAAAAATCTGGATTGTGATGCACAGATTGATTAATAATGATTAATTTTAATGGAGGTTTTATTTGTTTTTTGTTTGCTTTATTTATACATTCTAAAGGTCATTGTAGGGCTGTTTGAAATGGTTACTTATATGATGTATTAAAATTTGGTGCAATAGGAATGCCTGGGTGGCTCAGTCGGTTAAGCGTCTGCCTTCGGTTCAGGTCATGATCTCAGGGTCATGGGATCGAGTCCTGCATTGGGCTCCCTGCTAGGTGGGAAGCCTGCTTCTCCCTCTCCCACTCCCCCTGCTTGTGTTCTCTCTCTCTCTGACAAATAAATAAAATATTAAAAATAAAATAAAATAAAATTTGGTACAACAAAAGAAGTAGTTATTTATGCGTGGGCCAGTTATGTTTTTGTATTCTTCAAAGAAGGCTAGAATTTTTTTCTGAGAATAGTCCTAAAGACTGATTACATTGTGATTAAGAACTTAATTATTTAAGAACATGTACTTCAGCAAAAGAGCTCTTACATGAAAAAATATTTATTTATTTGAGAGTGAGAAAGAGAACACCCACATGTGAGCATGAGGAGGGGTGGGCAGAGGGAGAGGGAGAAGCAGGCTCCCTGCTGAGCAGGGAGTCCAATGTGGGACTTGATCTCAGGACCCTGGGATCATGACCTGAGTCGAAGCCAACACCTAACCAAATGAGGCACCCAGGCACCCCCAAAAAATCTTTTATAAATGTGGCTGGTAGTTCTAATGGAATGTTTACATTTGGTAAGCATTTGATGGGACATAGAAGATGATCATTGTCCTTGTCAAAAAGTTGTTATTAATTGATGTATGAATGGTGTTATTTAGATTACAAAGAAACTCAGATGGTGTGGATGCTTACTTGTGACACTGTGTTAGTTAGGGTTAAGTACAGAGAAACCAAGGCACTTCAGTCCCTCTCTCTAGGATCTTATAGCTATCAAAATAATGTCACCAAACATTTTTGTAACACTTTTACATTCTTTTTTTTTAATGGAACACCTTTTTAAGTTAAATAGGAGCAATGGAACTAGGACTTTACAGAAGAGTTCATTGAGTTGTATTGAAATTAAGTGAGCTATTCAAGGTTATATAGTTACAAAGACATAGTAAACACAGCCAGAATCCATAGCTCTTAACTCCTAGTTCAAGGAGTTACCAACTAAGAGTTCATGCAGCAGTAGTCTGGATAGATGATTTGAAAATACAGGAAAATTGTTTAAATCACCTATTATTTGTTAAGTGCCTATTTTGTACATGGCATTGTATCAGTTTTGCTTGATTAAAAAATGAGAAAAACCATAACTGCCCATGAAATTGTATTGTATAGTGGTAATACAAATAGTAGACAAAGGCTATTTAAAATAATGAAATGAGTGTATCCTGTGAAAGCTAAAAGTACTTTTTAGGGCTAATGCAATAGAAAACCCCCTGTGTACTGGCATATAATTAAGAGAGAATTTGGTGGAAATAGCGAAGGGGGTTTTATTTACGTGAAGAGAGTGGCTCTGAGATTGAGGGGCCATTATTCATGGAGTAGGGTAGCATTTCACATTCATTTAAATAGGTTTACTGAGCAGTCAGGATGAACAGGAGTGGTTTTGGAAACTACAGTTCAGAGGCAGTGCTAAAGCATGTAATCAGAGCTAGCTGAGACCTTGGAGACTATCTAGTCCTTGCATTAATTGTATAGCTAAGGAAACTGAGACTACAGTGATTCTGAATTACTTGCCAAAGATCAGTCATACAGCTAGATGGAGGCAGAACTGGAATCAGATTCCTTCCAAATGCCTGGATATGAAAAAACAGTGAAATAGATTGATAACAGAACCTAGAAGGTGGCAAATTGTGGATGTATATTGGATCTGTGGAGTAGAGTTGAGTATAATTTTTACAGAGATATGATTTCCATCAATCTTTGAAAGACAGGAAGGAGAATGGTCTACTAGTGTGTGGTTCCTTGGGCAGAGCAAATAAAAATAGAAGGATGTAGTGACCCATGGAACAGTTTGAAAAATAGGATGAGCTGCCTGATGGCACATATAAAAATGACCTTCCCAGCAACGTCTAAGACATTTTATTAACAACAGTAATAAAGATAACAATGGTGATAATATGAGCAACAACAACATGAGCTACCTTTTACTGAATGTTTACCCTGTGTCTAGGCATCATGTCAGGCATCTTAGGTACATTAGTTTCATTTAATTATTTCTCTGAGATTTAGTTTCCTCGTCTACAAAATGGCATAGTGACACCAATCTCAGAGAGATTAAGTTATTACCCTAGTGACACAAAAAGCTGGCTATGGAATAAAAATTTGAATTCTGATTCTGTTGAAATTCCAAAGCTAGTGTTTCTCAAACTTGAGTAATGAATAGGCCCTCCTTCTGAAGGAAAAATAATCTGCCCCATACCCCATATTGACTTATTTTTATTATAAGACTACTTAACTAGGTGTAAATATAAATTCCTTAAGCTTATAGCTCTTACATAATTTTTTAAAAACTAAAAAATATTACAGAGTAAAAAAAGCAAAACTTTAAAAAAATAATAAAATTCAAATTAATGACATTAATTTAATATGAAAGATGGAGTGTTTTTTTGGCTGAAATGAAAATACTGATTGCAAGAGGAATTTGTAGCTAACTCCTATAGGACACCTTCTTTTGAGTTTGGCAAGCCTGTATTGCCATGTGCTTTGTGCCAACTTGGTTTCCCTGCCACTTGTCTTTATTTTGACTTCTTCAAAATGTCCCTTCAGATAATACTTTGTAGTATCATTTGTTCTTCATTTGGTATAGTCCATTATTTATTGTGATCCTACCTCTGTTTTCATTAGTTGTGATGAAGTACTACCAGTTGGTGCCACTTTGATGGTTTGGAGCTCTGAAATGTCATGTCATTGTGTATTTAGTTAAAGATGATGGTCATCCAGGTCATGTAGAATATGTTTATGTTAATTATTTTTCAGGTTATCATCTAGAAGAACCCGCAAAATTTAAGAAATCACAAACTGCAAATCATAACCAGCCTTCTGGTATTTCCACTTAAAAGTTTACACTGCACTTTCTCTCTGTGCACTATGTCATAGAACCATCTGGTTTCTGCAGGGTCATAGTGGAAACCTAGGAAAGCACCTACTTTTGGTGCTGCCTTCATTTAGGCCACCACTGTTTCTCAATTTCTACCATAGCTTCTAGTTTTACCCCCACTCAACTATTCTCTACAGTGCATTCTACACTAGTGAGTTTCTTTAATACAAACTTTTAGGACTCAGCTCAGGAATCGCTTCTTTCTGAAACCTTTTCTTTATTGCTTCTCCTTATCTCCTGCCTTTTCACCCCATCCATTGTCACCTTTGCCATTCTGATCCCTAGAATGAATTAGTTATCTTCCCTTATTTCTCCTTTTTAACTCCAGAGTATCGAGGAGGCATACTTCTATTACATTGCTTAGCACATTGTGTTGTAATCCTTAATTTTTTGGATTTTCCAAGTAGATTATTAGCTTTTTGAAAGTAGGGCCCCTGTTGTGCATCTTCTAATTAGCACATTGTCTGATGGGAAGACAGTCCCATAGCTGTGACATAGCTGTGATCTTGAATCATTGGTCGGTCAGTTGTTATTTTAGAAGTGAGAAGTCAAAAATAGGCAAGAGTGAGGTAGACATTTCCTTATCTTTCCCGTTCATGTATCTAAAATTTATACAAATTACCTAAATAGTTAATGTTGTAGACTCTTTTAGCATGTAAGCAATGTAATTGTGGAAGTAATCTTTCCATAAAGAATTAAATGCATCATTTTACTTTCTCTTTGTTTTGTTTTCTATTGGTTAGGTGCTGTGATTGTCTCCACACCCCAGGACATTGCACTGATGGACGCTCGCAAGGGTGCTGAGATGTTTCGAAAAGTCCATGTGCCTGTAAGCATTTTCAGCTTCATTTTTACAATATGGAACACTCTAACTGAGGAAGCAAGTCATTGAGAAATACAGTCCAAATTTTAATTTAGTTCTCTGCAGAAATCTATATGAAAACCCTACTTCATCTTTATGGTTACTTTAACAACATGCATATAGGTGCAAACATGTATATATATTATATTAATCAAGAAAAATTCTAATTGCATTAAAATATTTTTTTTTAATTTTTTTATTGTTATGTTAATCCCCATACATTACATCAGTTTTAGATGTAGTGTTCCATGATTCATTGTTTGTGCATAACACCCAGTGCTCCATGCAGAACATGCCCTCTTTAATACCCATCACCAGGCTAACCCATCCTCTCTCTCTCCCCTCTAGAACCCTCAGTTTGTTTTTCAGAGTCCATCGTCTCTCATGGTT